ACCAAGTAATTAGCTCTCATCTGATCACCAGCTCAGGTTCTGGGAGCCTGGGGGTTGCTCAGGTGCCCGACAGAGATGTATTCTTTATTTCTCACATAAATGTAGGCCCAATTCAGACTGGCAACTCTGCACAAGGAGAGGGGGTTTAGACCTTACCACCCCATGCCATTGTCATGACCTGAACCAGCCCCAGGAAGCCAATGTTTGTCTCCTTGGGGAAATCTAACATGTGGTTCATCAGTACATGTGGAGCCCCCAATGGGGCAAATTGCAGCAACTATGGGTTGTTTCAAGTCAGGAAAATGGTGTAAAGGGGGAGGTTCTAATCTCACTCTTGCCATGTGCTGCTGTCCCAAATTCAAATTGGGGCTGTGCACACAAGGGAAATGCAGAACTCCAGACATGGGGATATAACCAGGAAAAAGGTAATGCATGGGGGTGGTAGTGGAAAGTGCCATCAAGTCACAGCTGACTTATGGTGACCCCATCAAGGCAAGACATGAGCAGAGGTGGTTTGCCATTGCCTGCCTCTGTGTAACAACCTTGGACTTCCTTGGTGGTCTCCCATCCAAATACTTGCCAGGACTGACCCTGTTTGGCTTCCAAGATGTGATGAGATCTGGCTAGCTTGGGCCATCCAGCTCAGGACACTGCATGGTTAGGCTTTATGACGAGCTGACAGACTGACAAATTAGGCAACTGCAGCATGGTCTCTCTTATCTTCTCACCCTCAGCTACATGCTGCCACATTTCCTCCAACAATCCACAACACAGAGTGAGCATGGCATTTGCACAGGTTCAAAAGATCACAAATATGACAGACAGTGCAAGTCATGATTTCTTTGCCATAAACAATCCACCTCTATGCTCTTGTGTCATAACTTCACAGGAACTGAAACTGCAATGGCCCTGAAAATCAAAGTTTTCTGAGAAACGATTACTTTATAACAAATTTTCTTGCAGTTTATTAGTGTAATGCAAGGTCCTATACACTGATACTAGAAGAACAATTTCAATACAGTAATGAAAAGCACCAGGAACAGACTGCTACTCCCACAAATAATATCTGTATGAATTGTATAGATTTTCTCAAGAAAAGTTCCATTGGGAAGATGATCGGTTTTATTGCTATTCCTCTCTATCTTCAGCTGAACTTTAGCAGACTAGCAGAATCAAAGTGACCTGAATGCAATGCTTCCTCTAAGCTGTGGAGTCTTGTGAGCAAAAATTCTGCTTTGTGAGCTACTGACATTAAAGTTGTGAGCAAACGATTTGGCTACTGCATACATTAGTTGCTCTGGAGCCATCCATCGTGAGCTAAGACAAAAATGTGTGAGTCGGAGGCTACAAAAATGTGAGCTAGCTCACACTAACTCAGCTTAGAGGGAACACTACCTGAATGTTTCCTACATACCCTCACCATTTTGACCATATCCAAAGGGCAATTTTTCATGTGCTGGTCAGACAGGCAGTGTGTAATGAAGAATGCCCACAGTACACTAATCAAGGATGCCTCCCATATCAACATAAGAATCCTGCAATGTTGACCACACAACCGGTAATAGTTACAAATTATCAGCCATGTGGACTAGAAGGGACTAGCATGAGACATGCCACAGCATGTTTCTACAGCGCAGAGAAATACAAGCGATTAAACTGCATGTCCAAGCCCAACTTTCCTTAATTATGCATACCGTCCTTGTTTGAAGGTATGAAATGTCAAGTCAATGGACATATGATAAAATATATTAATTTACAATTTGGAGTTCCTTCTGAAGGGAAAATTGCCTGCGTTGCTCAAAACATTCCACAATATTTCCATAAAGCATGACTGTATTATAATTTAAATCCTTCTGGTTTATTGTTCTCATAGAAAAAATGGAAATTTCCAGTCATACAGAACACATAAGGGAACTGACCTACAGAGACAACTATGACTTATCATACATAGAGTAAACAAATCCTGCCTTTCATGCCACTTTCAGTTTCATAGACAAGAACATTCAGAGTCTCATGGACGACTAACCAACAACAGAGCAGGTGTCTGCCTCCCTTAGTAAGGAAGAAATATTCTTGATACCCATTTGTGTTTAAGTGTATTAATATCTGTAATTGATCAGAAGCAGACAGTATTTTCACATGGTATGGAAAAACTGGAAAACTCTATACTTTCCTAGCAACACAGGTGCACTCCATTAAAACTATTTTGAGAATTGTGTGTACCATCAGCCAATGATGGCAAAAGCACCAGCATTTGGCAAGAAAAAATGTTCCCTTAAACTGGAAGTTTTTTGTTTGTTTGTTTTTTGTAACACAGCTGCATTGCTGAAGAGAAATACATCAATTAAAAAGCAACAAAATAGAGGAATATATTTAAATGTTTAAATATTTTTATGAGCAAAAAATATCGTATCTTGACAGACATCTCTGTGGTGTAGCTTTCAAGACTACCTCATGAGAAATGTACGTATAAGTATGCACCTTGCCTTCATTTGTTGTTTGCATTGTCCTCTAATTCTGCAATCTTAGTTCTATTGCATTGTTCATAGGTTGCCTCATGCTGTCTATCTGCACTGTTTTCTATTCTGTAATCTGCCTTAAATCTCAGCAAGAAAGATGGACTACAAAGTGAATAAACAGAGACCTTGGAAGAAGTTGGGGTCCCACAGGATGTAGGATCAACTCCGAAAATGCACAATACTGAAAACATATAAAATGAAAAATACAAACAAGTTTATAAAATGGCTGCTTCAGTTTGTGACATAAAGTGCTTTGTTACAATGGCACAAGATTAAAGCAGCTTTCATATTTCTCACTAATTTATTACTTTTCATTCTAGTTAAACTGTTAAGAAGAAATGCTTCACATTGACTTCACAGGCATTTATTGCTGGAAGTGTCCACTCATTGGTTCTGGTCAGAAATGCCTCCAAAATAAATAAATGGTCACACTGAAATGAACTGGGCAGTACTTTACTGGGCCACATATGAGGACCCAGTTTCTAAATAAATCCTGGCAACAAAGGCAGCAGGATAATTGTCTCAGTAATCCCCTCCTCTATCATTGCCTTCCTGACCTCTTAAGAATTCAGTTCAGATAACCTCACGCTGTTTGTAAGAATTCAGTTCAGATAACCTTGTGCTGTTTGTAAATAGGAGTGCATGAGTATCTGATCTGTCTATTCCATCTACTGCAAAAATCAACTACTGGCATATTTCCCTAGCTCTGCATTCTAGTTATGGAGAGCAGGTATTTTCAAAAGGAAGCACAAAACTAGACTTAATGACAGCATCCTTACAATGGCACTGTGGAGTGTAAATCAGAGCTTTGCTCAGCACCAAGATGGAGGGGAAGAAAAAGATCCAACTCCAAAATAATGGAATCAACTACTGGTTACGAATCAGCCTGGATTTCTTTTGTCCAAAGAAACATTGAGGAAAGTAATTATGAGGTATGAATTTTCCCCTACCTGTCTCGGTCCTAGGTAGAAGACAGTAGGCACAAGAACAGGCCAATGAGGAGAAGCATTTAAGAATCAAATGTCTCCCAACAGGCAGGAGAAGGCAAGTGACAATACAGATTACCCTGCCTACCCCATTGCTTTCTGCGTAACACTAAGCTATATGGTCTGCCACCCGGAGCCTGCATTGTGGGGAGGGTGGGGTATAAATGGAATGAATGAATGAGTAAATAAATAAATAATACAGATAGAGGATGTACAGAGACTAGGAAATATATTTTCCCACACTTCATTGCCATACACGCCCATAGTTCAAACAGAACCATAGCAGGAACTTTCCAGTACTGCTACAGAATATTAATTACTACTATACAATTGAGAGTATGCTTATATTAGCTGTATGAAATAGCACTATGCAGTTGTGTGCTGTTAATTTACTATTTCAAAATTTTATCTATATTAAACATTTTTTTCACAAAAACAAGAAAGAACCCTTACATTAAATTCTGGACTTTGCACAGACAAGCATATATGCAACAGAGGATGCATTTGCTTTCAGTAGCACATTGCATGAGACCAAAATTTTGGCATGGCTCCGATAATTTAAATACCAATGGGAAAGATTCTAGATATTCTTGTGATTCCACCAGCATAGTAGATTCAGTTTCTTTGTTACTAACACAAATTGACATAAAACATGAAAACTAAATATTCATTGTGGCTACAGTCTACCAGGAACTACTTCAGCATAAATTTCACTGAATGGAGTCTGACCTGAGCAAATCCTGTTCCCAACAACTTTGTGAATGGCACTTATCCAGGAAAAAAAATCAAAATCCTTAGCTCTGGGAGACCATGAAGGATTATTTCATAAACAGAATCTTTACAATCCCATGCACATTTTCACCTCAGCTGTGAGATGTGGTCAAAATGCAGCAGTTATTAAAAATTCTGTTTTCACAGTCCTAGTTACTGTTAACTAATCAATAACATGGAGATATTTACCTGTGTGTAAGTCTCCGGTGGCTAATGCAAACAGCAGTTTGTTGATCTTGAGCAACGCATACTTTATGACGACTACATTTCATCTTTAAGCATGGATCTTTAGCTGGGTCTAAAGCTAAAAACAATTGTAGAAAATATTTTTTAAAATCCTTTTCTAGCATATGTACAGCAATTATAAGTCATCTAAATCTTTTTCACACGATAGGTTCATTCATTCCTCTCTGGGGACTCTAGATATTATATTAAAATAACACATTTTTAAAACATTCTGCATCCTAATAAAGGGTACAAACCTCATAAACTGCATGCTGTTAATATTTTCATCCTGTATACTTTGCTCCTCATTTTGTAGTACTCTTGTTCTACATGGAGATAGTTTCACCATGTACCCATGCTATCCTGTCGTAGAACTGCGAGATTGAAGCCCAGTAACACATCTGACAAAGGGAACTTTGAGTCTCAAAAGTTCATACTGCCAAAATCTTGTGGGTCTCTAACATGCTACAGGACTTGAATCTAGCTGCTGAGTCACGTTTTTCTTTGCACAGATTCACATGAACTACATGGAGATAGTTTCACCATGTACCCATGCTATCCTGTCGTAGAACTGCGAGATTGAAGCCCAGTAACACACTGGACAAAGGGAACTTTGACTCTCAAAAGTTCATACTGCCAAAATCTTGTGGGTCTCTAATATGCTACAGGACTTGAATCTAGCTGCTGAGTCACGTTTTTCTTTGCATAGATCCACATGAACATTTTTGTTCATGCAATAAGTACAGCCATCATATCACCTTCTTGGGCAAATACCTGACACCTTGAAAAGTAAATATTTTTTTTATTATTCTAGAAACTTTTGTGAGCTAGAGCACACTTCATCAGATGAAACTGTCTCCAGTTCATGGAAGTTCTTTCTAGAATAAGAACTAATTAGTCTTTAAAATGCTACAAGACTCCTGTTTGTTTAGTACAATTCGTTACCATGGCACTATGATAATTTATCACACATAGGCAAGCAAAAACAAGATCCTCATTAACTTTAAGTACTACTTGTCAGGGAGGGGGCTGGCTCTCACATTTTTGACCATGTGAAAATTAATACCTGAATGAATTCTGTGAATCCACCCTAAAAGTAGACTGAGAACTTGCCATGGTTGCCTGCCCCCTGGTGGGAGGGGGAGATCCCCCAGCTGGATGGTAGGGGAAGCCCTGCCCCCAACAGCCATGACCCAGCATGACATCCCTGATGTGATGGCATCATATGGAAGTGACATCACCACGCCAGGAGATATCACAGAGTGATACTGATATTTTGGGCAAAACTCTTGCAATATTCCCGGCATGATGACGTCACTTCTGCATTACATCTTCATGTCAGGGATGTTGCCCCAAGCTCCCTCCCACCCAACCCCCAACCAGCGAGGAGGTAAGACCTGATAACCCTAGAACTTGTTGGTATCATCTTGTTACAAATGATGTCAAAAGAAGCATATTAAGCAAATGTGATATACAAGCTTGGACCTGAGTTAATTTCAAACCACTGATTAATGAATGTGTATAACCAGCATAACACACTGAAATAAAATATTAAGAAAGCTACCCTCCTTTCCCATTAAATGAAAAGCAAGTGGACAGAAAAACTCTATTTGGGGGAGAAAAATTAATACCTAAGAATTCTTGAGTAACCTGTGTGATGCAGGCAAATTGAATCACACAACATTGTGCGGGGATTTACTTTATTTATTTCATTTATACCCTGCCTTTCTCCCCAGTGGGGCCCTAAAGTAGCTAATATCTATCTCTTCTCGTCTCTTCATAATAACCCTGTAAGGTACATTAGGCTGAGTGTGCGCAATTAGACCATGGTTATTCCCCAAGCTTTCATGGCAAATTGGAGATCTGAACCTGGGTTTCCCAGCTCCTAGTCTGACACACTAACCACTACACCACACTGGCTCTCAATAATATGCTCCCCCCTTAAACACTGTAGGAGAACTTGCTACTTAAGTCTATGAAATGCTGTTTTTCTAAGGAGGGAAAGATGAGGAGGAGGAGAATTGGTTTTTATACCCCGCTTTTCACTACCCAAAGGAGTCTCAGAGTGGCTTACAATTGCCTTCCCTTCCACTCCCCACAACAGACATCCTGTGAGCAATGTTCCCTCTAAGCTGTGGAATCTTGTGAGCAAAAATTCTACTTTGTGAGCTACTGGCATTAAAGTTGTGAGCAAGTGATTTGGCTACTGCATCAATTAGTTTGCTCTGGAGCAATCCTTCCTGAGCTAAAACAAAAATCTGTGAACTGGAGGCTAAAAAACTGTGAGCTAGCTCACACCAACTCAGCTTAGAGGGAACACTGCGTGAGGTAGGTAGGGCTGAGAGAGCTCTGAGAGAAATGTGACTGACCCAGGGTCACACAGCAGGCTTCATGTGGAGGAGTGGGGAATCAAATCCGGCTCTCCAGATTAGAGTCTGCCACTTTTAACCGCTACACCAAACTTATATGTATCCCTCTAGCTTTTATTGCACTATCTTGTATCTTTGTAATCCACTCACGGCATTGTTCATAGCAGGTCATGCCTTAGTCAGCTTTCTATTTCCATTATTTCCTAATTTCTATAATCCTAATCCTATTGCATTGTTACTGGATGCTTTGTGTCATTCAACAATTATTTTCTATATTTTTAATCCACCTTAAGTCTCCATAAGAAAGGTAGGTTATAAATTAAGCATTCAATCAGTCAATGTATTTGAGATAGATTCATATAGGAGAAACTATTTTTTTAGAAATCCAAATGCTTTCTTAACTCAGCTATAACTATTAAATATTCTTATTAGAAAACTGCTTTTTATAATTTTAATATTGGTACATATTACTTGAACAAAACTATACTGCCAAAAGAAGCTTTTTAAATTGCATACCTCATAGCCCAAATGAGACTTGACATATTTTCTGTGGATCGAGGAACCACTCCAAAAATGTAGGAAACAGACTCATTTTTTCACCCTTCAGGGTTTTATATTTTAAGCAAACATATTTTCTAACTATCGCTACCAGAAAAAAACCAATCCTAACCTTCTTTCACAGCTTCTTGTGATTTTATAAATGGTGTGGCAAATTGTTATAGTATATAAATATAGGTGTAACTTTGGTTGTCATGCCCACAACAAAAAGTTATTTTCCAAATAACCACATATAATATTTTTTTAAAAAATGAATGAACACACAATCATATATTGTCTTCCTGCAGTGATTCAGATGGGAATAGAATGTTTTGCAATATTAAATCCTCACCTTCAGATAACAGATTCAGATGGGGGAAGGGGAAATGCAGACAGGAAAACTGCTTTATTTATGAGGATAGTGTGTTTAACAGAGGCAACTTGCTAATATTGTTCAGTGAAAAAAAAAGTATGGTATTTTTTTTAATGAGCAAATTAAGAGTGCATTTGGACATAATATGAGTGTAGCAATTTTGCATGTCCATGTTTTCAGAAAGACTACCCAGTCCAAGTCAACTATTCCCAAAACACAGCTCTGCTTTAGACAGACAGCATTTGTTCCACATATTACAAAAGCATTACGATTACAGACAGGGAGTAATTTGGACAATTCTGAAGGCTGTCGAGTAAAAGCTGTCTTTGATCATACTACCTGCAAATCAAGAATCACTAAGATGTGTGAAAATAAAGTATATGAGTATCCTGTGTCTTGACTAATTTTCCTTGGATCTAGGAAACAGGCCTTAAAAATTTAGGAGCCCAACTTATTTTTCAGTTAATGGAGTTTTATATTTTGATGACTATTTTTCTAATAATTGATTCATAAAACCTAATTCTAACCTCTTGCAATTTTATTAAAGCTATGACAAAGTGTTGCAACATATAAATAAATAGAAGAATAGCCTGTGTTGCCAACATTATAACAAAAAGCTCATCTCTAACCATAACCTAACTTCTTCCCTGGTTTTCCTAATTCCATTCTGGTTTTAAAAGGCATAATTTAATTGAAGATTGGACCCAATATAGAAAGTAACTGGCTAAGAATGCATCCACCATCAATTTAAAATGTTAAAAGTTAACATATAAAAAAGGTTCATGCACATTTATGTCCTGCAAAATATCTGTCATACAAAATTATAAATAAGCTGTTATCACTATAATAAAATAATTTGTGAAAATACTGGGGGGAAATGCTGAAAATACTACATTGAAATTTTTACACACCATGGTTACCTGGCACTTAGGATTTGTTGGAGAACATAACAGCATAAAATAGAAGGCACAAAACAAATGGAAAACTATTTATTATTATTAAACTTATACCCCTTTTCCCAGTGCTTAAGGCATCAAAATGAAGCACTGAAAGATACTTCCCCCCCAAAAAAAAATTAGTTTCCAGGGCAAATCCTTATGCTGAATCTACATATATAATTCAGTCTAAGCAGGATCAAAACAAACACTGGTCAGTTCTACTCAGAACTTTGTTTAAACCATAGATTTTATTAATGATGTAATAATAATCTGGAATATAATATTTCCATGATCAGACACAATCCCTAAATACAGAAATTTAAATCTCAAAAATGCAGTTTCAGGTCATCCCTGTCAAAATATATCATAGTTCCCGTTGCAGCACATGAAATCCATATAAGGAATTCCTAGAAATTCACTACCTCTTAAAATCATTAAGGGAGAAAGTTTTCACTTTGTTAAAAGGAAACACAAAATTTGAACATTCAGGCAGGTTTGTAGTTCACCTACACTCACTCAATGTGCACTGTAACTTCTGGAAACTATTCAGGAGGCTTTGCCACATAGGTGGTCAATGATGCCAGTATGCCGGACTCAGAGAGTAAAACTGGAATTGGCTATTGTCATTTTAGGTTGTGCATGCAGGTCTATCTTCCCTTTGCTTCTAGAGTTTGAATGCTGTCCAAGTGACTAATGCATTCTGCCCCTATATGGTTTGCTCATGTTACTCATTGTGAGATATGAGAAATTTGCCTACATGCTTGTCGGGCCAGCTACAGCTAGAAGAACATGCATGTTGATGAATCCATTTCTGCTTCCCTCCCCTCTCAGACTATTGGTTTTAATTGACACCTTAAATCTG